TAGGATTAGTGGCCTTATAAGAAGAGGCACCAGAGAACTTGTGCTCTCTCTCTCTACACGCACAGCAGAAAAGGCCTTGTAAGGATATAGTGAGAAGACAGCCACCAGCAAGCCAGAAAGAGATCCTCCCCAGAAACCAAACCTGCGATCTTGGACTTTCTAGCTTCTAGAACTGTAAAAAATAATAAATTTCTGTTGTTTCAGCCACCCAATCTGTGGTATTTTGTTATGGCAGCCCCAGCAAGCTAAGACAATAAGGTTAGTTATCTTATCAAGCATCCATTGACTCTTTTTATAACAGCCCTTAAGCTGAGAATATTTTATTCCTTCCAGCTTAACGATGGAACTCCTGAGACACGGAAAGGGACTAGAACAGAGCTTAGCATATAGAAAGAATTTGTACAAATATTTATGGGATGAATGAAAGTTACCCAGCTGAGGTCCCACTGCAGGTCTGTGGCAGAGGCAGGAAAGTGGCCTCAGAGGTCTTCTCCCTTGGCTGTTTCTGTTGCTAGCCGAGGTTCTGATTCCCTGAGGATAAATCCCTTTGCCTGTCTAGGTTTGGATTTCCTCATCTCTAATTTGGGTCCAACAATTCCCTTCCTGATCACATCACCGCAGCATGGTGGATGAGACTATCTAATTGGGAAAGCTCTCTGAAAGCCATAAAGAAAATCACCTGTGTTCTTAGCACTTATTTATAAAAGACAGCAGTGAGAGGCCGATCAGTCTAAAGCATCATTGATGAGGAGGGGTCTGTCCAGGATCTTGTTGTGTCCCTCGTCAGGACAGGGAGGGAGCTGGGAAAAGCCGGTGGGAGATGAGACTCAATGCCCACATTCTCCTTGTAGGATAAATCATTCTTTCTCCATCAATTTCCCATTCACAGAGAAGCATTTGAATTTGATCTTGGTCAAAACAACCCCCTCCCTTCTTTATTCCCTTCTCTCAGGATCTCTTCCTGGTGTTTGAATTTAGAAACCACAAGTGCCTGTACTAGACCAAAAAAATCACACCCAGAATGGGTGGCCTAGATTTTGAATTTTAAATAACCAGGAAACTCCCAGAAGAAGTACTTTTGTTTGATCGGTGAGGTTTCTTTCCTTGTGAACAACAGAAACCAACTCTGACCAACTGAAGCTGAAGACAATTGTTTTCAAAATACACAAGGTAGTTCATGTAACTAGGGAAACGCAGAGGACCAGCTCAGGAAACACAGGTACGCAGGTAGCAGCAAGAATATGAGCAAGAAGAATGAATGATCCGAGGGGCCGGGGTGCTGAAGTTGTGATGCATGTGCTCCTGCTTTTTTCCTCTCCCGCTCATCTAATTGCTGTACCACCAGAGTGTTTTCAGCTGCAGGTAACAGAGGTCATGACTAAGAATGGCTAAATAATAAAGGTATTTCACTGTCTTATAGAGATGAGTGGTTTGGGGGCTGGTGTGGCAACTCACACATGTCAGTCTGCATTTCCCATTTTTTGGCTGTTTGGTCCCAAGAGAGCTGCTGCAACTCCAAAAACATTCTCCCACCAGCACTGCAAGCAGGAAGGAAGATGGACAGTAGAAATAGGGGTTTCTCCTTTTATTAAGGAGGCCTCCCATCACCCTTCCCTTTATATTTCATTGGTTGGAACTGGGTCAAATAGCCAACCCTAGCCGCAAGGAAGGCTGGGAAAGTGAGTATCAGGGATAAGGGGTCAGAAGAGCAACGATTGGTCTCATTTCCTGGAGCTAGGCATGTGGCTGCTCAAAACAAAATAAAGGTTTTGTGAGTAAGGAAAAATGGGCAGTAGCTCTCAAGATTCGATACCCAGGAAAGAGGCGATAGGACTCCCTTGATTCACTATGTTTGAGCCACGAAGGATGATTGAAAGGTGATGATTCAAAAGGAAGCAGGACCCTGTGGCTGGAAGAAGAGAGATGGAAGCTGAGTGCAAAAGAGACACATCTCTACCTCCCTCTCCCATTCGCCTTTTCAGTTATCGGGTGGTATTCCAAACTAGCCAGAACAGGCTGCATAACTTATGGGGCCCAGTGCAAATAAAAATAAAGGACCATTTTGTTCAAAAATTATTAAGAATTTGAAGATGGTGACAACAGATCATTAAACAAGCACTGGGCCTTTCTGAGCACAGGGCCATGTGTGACTACACAAGTCACATGCCCATGAAGCCTTTCCTGGGCCTATCCCAGAGTGGAGTGACCATTTCAGGACAGTAAGCCTTGGTTAAACTGTTTTAGGGTCTGTTTTTGTATGAAATTGGATTAAATACATTCCTGGATGGTGGGGAAAGCTGTGACTTATATATATGTCCAGGCCTCAGTACCAACTCTCAGTTAAAGAGCAAAGAAAGAAGCGATTGCACCCTTTCTATGTATATAACCCAGGGCAGAGGCAGAATTCAGAGAGGACAGAGTTCTCTGGAGGGTTCCACTCTACTCAAGTGTAGCAGAGGAAGGCGGATGGAAGTCGGCTTTCATCCTCATGCCCATTCATACTTGGCAATGCCCGTCTATTATCAGATCATCACAGTGGCCCTGTGTGGTGCAATATATTGTTTCCATCTTATGGATGAGGTCATTGGGGCTTAGGAAGGTCCGTGGTCGTCTGTGGGGTATGGTCAGTCTGGGGTTGGAAGCTAGGCAGCCTGAACCCAGAGACCATTGTGCATCAGCACTCTGCACCATTGAACAGGTCTAATGGGGTTGGGGAAATTGTAAGCAGTTGGCTTGGTAAGACTAGTATGTGAGACCAGATATAAAGGGGCTGTTTTTGGTGTTTTTTTGGAGCGGGGGGTCTTAGAATCCTAGGGCCCAGGGAGGCTTTATAAGGTATGCCACAGGGATATCACTCAGCCACTGGAATGCAGGATGGATGCTAGCCTCAAGGATGTCAATAGGAGATGAGCCAGGAACCTGAGCCAGGAAACAAGCGTAGTTTTTCTCACAAAAGTGTCTGTCATACATGGTCAGTTTCTGAAATGAATCCACAAGCCAGGAACATTTGTCTAGATACTTTTAATTAAAATACATTGTAATAGGATGAAAGCAAGACTGTAAAATGCAGTGTTCACATTTACTAAGAAAACAGATAAAAATATTCCAGGTAGCTGAATATAGATATTTGACAATAAAATTTTCAACAGCTGCTTGGTTTTAATGTTATTGAAAATGTTTCAGTAGCTAAAAAAATAGTTTGCTATTCATTTTCTACTGAAATGCAGGAAATGTTGAGACATTTTAAATTAGTAGAGATTCAACCCACATAAATAAAGGTCCTGTTTCAGCAGCAGAATTACAGTATTTCTGGGCTATACCATTCATACCTTGCCAATCAACCTGTCCAGTTCTATTTGGATAATAATGCCAGCCTCAAATTCAATTTATCTAATATCCAAGTTTTGTGAAAGTGTCAAGTTTAATGAGAAATTAAGACACTGTTAATCTCATTTCAAAATCAATTTTCTCCTCAGGACAACTCTTGGGAACCTCAAAAATATCTTGCTTTTTATAATAAGCAGTATACATTCAAGGCTTGATAGCTAAAAGAATAAGTATATTCATATAAAAAAGATGCCTTATAAAATAGGATCTCACAATGTGGGTGCCCTTGAAACATTTTACCATCTAGTAGAGGGCAATACGATTACTTTATTGATATATCTGAAATACTTGCTAAAGACGGAAGCATTCTCTATGCTTGGGTCTTAAATATGCAGTGCAAATATAGGAATAATAGATGGGGATGGTAAAGACAAAAAAACGAAACACAAACCTCCAGACTTCTCCTATTTTAAAATGGTGTGTACCAGTGACATTGTATCTGTACACAATTTTTTATTGCAGCATCACATGTAACTGCATAAGATTGGAAACAATGCAAAAGCACTTCAATAGGAGAGCAGGCAGCTCAATGTGACGGTATTTACGTACAATGGAACTAGAGGGTAGTCATGCAGAAAAAGGCATGGCCTTTATGTACTGAAAGGGAAGACGCTCCAAAATAAATCAAGTGAAAAATAACAAAGACTCTGATATGGTACCGTTTGTGTAAAAAAAAAATAAAAAGGAAGGGAGCAAGAATGAATTTACACCATTTCCTTCTGTAAGCTTCAAATATCTCTGAAAGGAAACACAAGAAACTGATAATAGCAGTTGCTTCCAGGAAGGGGACCCAGGCAGGTTAGGTGCCTGGAGTAAGAGGAAGAATTTTCACTGGGTATCCTTTCATACTCAGGTAATGATGTTACTACCCACTAAAATAAATTAACCGAAGTTTTTTAAAAGCGTAAAATAATGTCGCTCATCATTATATTCCATGTGATGGTGTCAGATCACATGACATGTCATCAACTAGATAAATCTGTTCATTACCCTGGAATTTGGAAATGCTCAGACCAGCCTGGCAACTCTGGTACTGTTTAAGTTTTCTACAGGGAAAATAAATATTATGCTTTCAGTTTGATGAACAAATACAGACTGTTGCAAGCCTTCAGCAGCTCGTAATGTTTCTGTCATTTTATATAAAGTGGGCAATACCTATTGGAAATCTGGGCCTTTTGGTTCATAGTTGCTGGTGGAAACTAGTTTTTTGTTTTGTTTTGTTTGTTTGTTTTTAATTAATTAATTTATTTATTTATTTACTTTTTTAAGATTTCATTGGGGAATTGGGGGAGGGGAACAGACAAGTTACTGTCCTTCTGTTCTTCAGTCTAGTTGTGGAGGACGTTGCTTCACTGGCCCATGTTGGTATTATCATTGCGCTCTTCCTGGGTGAGGCAGATGGGTCGCCGTCCTCTGGACAGCGGCTGATGGCGGCTCTTGGCAGCTCACACCAGCTGCCGGCTGCTCCCGGTAGCTTATGGTAGCCCACTGCAGCAGGGGCTGCAGCCTACGCCGTTGCCGGCGACTCACGGCAGCACAGCTCCAGGCTGAGCTGTTGTTCAGCATCTTAGCTGTAGAGGGCAGCGTCACTGGCCCTCATATGTGGGCTCTGAACCGGGGCCCTCTGGCGTCCCAAGCCAGTTCTTAACCAACGTGCCACTTGGCAGGCCCTAGTTTTTGTTTTTAATCACCCACTCCCCCCAGAGCCATTCCATATGTAGATCAAATCCTCTCAATAAATAACCATTGACTGAATCACTCTTCCCCTCCCCCCACACACCTTTTTTTGAATTATAAAAGCAGCATGACACTCTGCAGAAACTCCAGGAACTTCAGTGGTGTCAGCTGTCAGATTTCATCTAGGATTCATCTAAGTTGCTACCATCATCTCTATAGCAAGGGCACCAAAAGCAAATAGTAGATTAATCCCTGCATATGAGAGTTGGGTGACTGGCAGAGGAGATGCTCAGAAACTCTCACAGCCCATGGCTAATCGTCCATGTCCATTTTATCTATTCTGGGATAATGGCATTGACCTGGAACTGAATAAAGTCTAGGGAAGGTATGCGCTAACCACCTTAACGTACCGTGTTCCTATTGTGATTGCCCAGGAACGAAAAATAACATCTGAGGATAGGATCACATTTGCCTGATTCCCAGTGGGTCAAACGGACAGCACAACTGCCCGCTTTTCTACTGAAAAGTTTTCTGTCCTTGAAACGTGGGAGACACATTCCAGAAGGGAAACTCCAGGTACCTAACAAAACGCTCCACAGTGCTAAAGCCCGGTTCTATCCCCTGCCTATGAACTTTCAAAATAGAAAAGAATTTTCTTCTTAAAAGTAGTAAGAGTCGGGGAGGTAGGGTCCTCAAATAACAGTGGGAAGCTAGGGACATGAACACTAGGAAACTGGCTGATTTCAAGACCAGCCCCTGGGGGAAGCGATATCAGGGCAGGAATGTTGGCGCGCCGGTTATCTGAGCGCTACTGAGGCCACCACTGCGGACCTCGTCTTGGCCGCTGGTGAGCGGGTGCACGTGGACACCTCACTCGGCCTCCTTTTTTTCCTCGGGGATCTCCACCGACAGGATCTGTTCGCCTGGGTCTGGGCCAGGGCTCATGCGGATCCGCACCGAGTGCTCCTCAGGCACGGCTGCTCCCTCTGCGTTTCCCTGGGGACCCTTGGGGGAAGCAGGTGGTGGAGAGCCTGGGTCCCGGGGCTCCTGGGATGCGGGCTGGTCGCCAGTGGCCGAGCTCGCCTCTCCCGCGGCTTCTTCCGGGCTCTTGGCCTGGAATCCGGAAAGGGTGACTCATGAGGCAGAGAAATGACCAAGGGGTGTTGGACACCTACCTCCCTGTTCCCCTTGTTGAACCCCCAAGGAGGAGAACGGCAGAGCCCTCAGTGGATGCAATCGAACGGATGGAGGGCTGGGCGGAGCCGCATCAGGTTTATTTGGTAGAGACAGTATATGATGGAGAAAGTTTGAGGATTAAAAGTCCTGGTTGGATTTAGTGGCAAATCTTGGGGATATTTTAGGTCCCTGCTGAGTTGCGGGGCTGGAAGTGGAGCCAAGTTGCCTGTTCAAGGGATGAGCCTCGCTCCTGAGCTATTGGAGGAGAGGCTGTGCCCAGTACCAGGTTCCCAGGGACACTGGCCATGGTCTGTGTATCAGAAGGGAACTGGGTGAAAACCCGAGCTTCTGTGGATACCCGGGGCCCCTCCTGCTCCATCTCTGCATGGAAGGACACTGGGGAGGGAACAGCCTCAGATCAGGAGGCCTGGTGGTCCACAGCTGTCCGAGACCCACTTGAAGTGGTGGTAGTGAGTTAGAGCAAGAGCTTGTGAGGAGCAGACACCCCTGAAGTTTGCTCAAGTCATAGAGTGTTGAAAGTGAGGAGGAGTGGGGGGTAAGATGCTCCTAGAACCCAAGGCAGCTCTGTTTCATGGCTTGTCATGTTTGCCACACCTGTTCCACCCTCCCCTGTCCACTGTAAACTCTGACAATGCGCTTGCAAAGCACAATGCCCAGATGGTGCCCGTTAGGGGACTTCCTGAAGCCTCCTGCTATAAATGGAAACAGAAGAATCAGGGCAAGGTTGGTCAAGGGCTTTGCCATGTTCAAAATGCTTTTATAAAAGGTATCCCAGGAGTCCTTCTTCCTCTCTACCACCCCATGTGGCAACCAGGAATCTGGGTCTTAGAAGGCTTGAGGAGCTACCCAGGTCACAGAGCTGGCAGTGACAGAGCCGGAGCTTGGACATGTGTCTTTAGACAGTTATTGAAGAGTTCCTTACACTCTGCCACTCTGTGCTAGTTCTGAATTGCAGGGGAAATGCCTTTTATTGGAACACTCAAGCAAATTTCATTCACATCTCCAAGCTGCCTTGGTGAAGAGCTAACACTAGGAGCCCATTTCAGATAAAGCAAGTCTGTCACTCTTGAAGCTCATGTTCACTCAGTCCCACACACCAGCCTGCCTTGAAGACCCCACCTTGCCAGCTTAACCCTGCCCTTGACAGTTTGGGAGCCAGACAATCATGTCTGTTCTCAGTCTGGAGCCGTTGGAGACTATCTGGAGAATTGGAACCCAAGGTTGCCTTTATATCACTCAGATTCCTGCTGTCACTTGGCTTCTGGATGGGTCCCCTGGCCTCTGACACCAGCCTAGAATGAGCCTGAGTTCACTGGGCTCCTCTGCATGCTGTCATGTAGACTGCTGTCCCCTCCCAGCCACTGAGCTCCTGCCTAATCCCATCCCCCCTTTCTTCACAGCCTCCCTAAAGGACCGTAATGAGCAGCCATAATTAATGCAATCATTCTAATTGGCATTCTTGGCATTAGTCACAGGGAAAATTCCCAGAACTAATTTTAAAATTCCCCTTAGATTTATGGGGGTGGGAGCAGTCAGGGAGGGAGGTGGGGGCAGTCAGCACCATGCCTGTCGCCTTGGTTTTCTTTTCAAATCTTTTAAATTGTCACAGACACAATATTAAATATAAGAACGTCACTGTCGCCTAGGGAGGGACATTCCCTGTCCACGCCAGGACTTCCCTTTGGGGAACCCACCCCCTACTTACTCTCAGTTCAGAGATAGGCATGCGAGCCAGGCCTCTGCAGAGCACTCCATCAAATGGCTTGAGAATTGACATGTGACCCAATTCTGTCCAATAACAATGAGCCCTGGGACTTTTGCTGGAATTATTGGGAAAGAGGTACTTTTTTCTGTTGGAGTTACTAAACCAGGAAGGTGTAATCCTAGAGCTTTTGGGGGCCTGCCTGGGAATGGAGCCATGTCTGAGGAAAGCAGAGACGATAGAATGGCACAACTGATCCTGTTGGTCTCATTTGAGCTTTTGGATCCAGCCTTGCTCAAACTTTTCAATTACTTGACCCAATAAATTCCTTTTGATCAAGCCCATTTGAGCTTGCACTGTCACTTGCATTTCTGTCACTTGCAACCAAACAAGCCCTGACTGATATAAAGAAGTGGGGAAATTTGCTAAAATTAAATGTGTGGTCCCCTCGCTAAGGCCCCGAGGGCTTCCTTCCTGGCATGTTGTTGAAATGGATGGGTGGCTGGGTTCCCAACCACGTTACCTGTTCCAGCAACCGTTGCTGTTTTGCAGCCGCCTCCAGCGCGGCCAGTTCTTTAAGTCGAGCCCTGAGGTGGGCCAGCTTGCCACCTTTGGCCCCCTTGGCACCCATCTTCCCTGCTGCAGCCAGGGCGGCGTTGAAGAGCTTGGGGGTGCCGGCCCGGGGAGGCAGGATGAGCACGCTCTTCTCCTTGGGCTTGTTGTGATTTCTCAGCATGCGCCTGAAAGAAAGCGGTGCCTGCTGTCATCACAAGCACGCTCTGGGAGAGAAGGCTCGTTTGTTTGGAGCCCTTTGAGTTGGAGCTGTGTGATGGTGGTTGTTTGGCTAACCATTTTTGAGTGCAGTACCTTTTGTGAACCTAGCACAGTGCTAAGTGTTTCACGCACAGCATCGCACTGAATGCTCAGAACAGCCATAATGATATGGGCCTTACTATCTGCCCCTTATAGATGAGGTAACAGGCTCAGCGGGGATAAGTAACTTTTCTGAGGTCACACCAGAAACAGTAAAAGGTACTTTAATATACAGGATCAGAAATATAATGCCTGAATGAAAAAAGGACCCAAAGCTTTCTGCTGCTTCTGCTTTGCATCATTGTTATTTCACCATCAACACCATCACCACTGGCAGCACTTACTGAGTATCTATAGGTATCGGTCCCTGTGCTCAGTCCTTTACGGGGGCCCCTGTTATCCCCCTTCCTGGTGTCCACACCTCTGTGTGATCCCCTCCCCTTGAGGGTGAGTGGGACATGTGACTTGTTTTCAACCAATAGAAATACAGCAAGAGTGATAGAATACCATGTTTGTGAATATATCACACAGGACTGATCTCTGTCTTGCATGGAGATTCTCTCCCTTGCTGGCTGTGAAGAAGCAAGTGCCCACGTTGGGGGAGGTGATGTGACAAGACCCTAAAGGCAGCCACTAGCCAACAATTAGCTTGGAACTGAGACCCCCAGTCCTACAACCACAAGGGACTGAATTTGGCCAACAACCATGTGACCTTAGAAGCAGACCTTTCCCTGTTGAACTTGAGATGAGACCCAGCTCTAGCCAATAGGGCTACATTTGATTACAGCCTTATAGTGGACCTACCTAAGCTGTCCCCAGACTTCTGACCCATAGAATAGGATGAGATAATAAATATGTATGGTTTTAAGCTACTATATTTGAAATAATATTGTTATGTAGCAATGGATAACTGATACATACTCTCTCTCACAGTAATCCTCAGGTAGGTCCTATTATTTTTCCTCTATTCAAATGAGGATATGGAAGTCCAGAGGGGGTGAGGAAATTTCCCAAGGACACACAGCTAGGAAGTGGCAGAGCTGGAATTCAAACCCATGCCTCTGACCCCAGCGCCCCAGATCTTAATGATTAATTACAAAGCAACATCATAGTCATTATTTTCTTGGACACTGGCACTACTCCTGTCACATGAAAAGGGCTGGGATTATTGTACCTTTGAGAGTTGGGGAAACTGAGGCTCAGAATGGGGGGAGTGACATGCCCAAGGTTGCCAGGAAGTTGGCAGAGACAGAATAACAACCCAGACTAAATACAATATATCACCCTCCTTCTCTAAATAAGGATAGAATTTTCCATCAAACAGAGCCCCAGCCTTTTATAAGGAATTTTTCACGCTACAAATATGTGATGAGTGGTTTGGCTCAAGAACAAATGAATTTCGCCTGCAAGCTAGCAGACCTAGACGACTAATTGGCAAATTCATTCATCAGCGTTCCAGCAAAACTTGTTTGTTTAAAAATGAGGCCATTACTGGCTGCTTATCTAATCAGAGGCAATGGATTTAAATTGTGCCTATTGATATTAATTGCCCAAGTTTTGCATTTTCTAGCTGGAGCTCCCCCAGGAGGACACAAACATGATAATTCATCAGAGGCCTCTTACATGCCCAGGACTGTCACCTGTGTTATTTGAGTCCATAATTCATAGTACACCAGTCTGCAGGAAGGCTCAGCGTGGTATTAAAATGACACGAAAGAACTATCTACAGGAAGGACCTTTGCTAATTGCTAATGGCTGTCTCTGTTTTGAAACATTGAGCTGGCTTCTGGGAAAGTTCCAGATAAAGAAAATTGAGCCTCATCTTCAGATGACATGCGTTTCACTACAATTGGTATCAAACATTCACCCCTGCAGAAAGTGGTATGCATGAGAACCTTTTGCCCCGCTTCTTGGAGTGGCCAAGTCAGAGAGCTGAGCACCATACTTCTTTGGGACCTCGGGTCTTCCATAAAGTGGGGGAATTTAGACAGAATCCCACATGTGGCTCTCACCAACTCAGACCTCCAGGCCCTGTGCTTCTCAGACTGCATCTCTCCTTGATGGGCAGAGCTCATCCGCAACCCTCTGCCTCTCTCCTAAGGCTTGTCTGTCCAGAGAACCAGTCTCTCTGAGGAATCAGCCCCTCCTCCTCCCTCTGGCTGCTTCACACCATCACACTGCAGACAGGTCAGGAGCGAGGCCTCTACAGGATACCATCCGATGTGCCAAACCCTCACCTACCCCAGGCAGAGGAATGGGATAACAGCTCCGAGTGTGGCTCATGGCTCAGGAAGCCATGCTCACGGTCCTCTTACAGGGGGGAGGGAACCTGGGGCCAGTTGTCAGATATAAACAGTCAATTCTCATTATTTGGGTAAGTTCTATAAAGCCCATGCAAACACTGAATTAGTGGCTACTGAACCATTGCTTCTGGGGGAAATACAGGGTTAGGTTTCCGTGCGCCTCACCTGTTTTTATCAGCTGATCAATATAGGACCTTGTCTTGGGTGTGTTCCTGTGTATAGACCTCTCATTTAACATGCACTGTTGATTCACTAACAATGAACTCGTAGCCAATAGCTCTCTAACTCATGCCCGAACGGAGGCAGAACTCAACCTTCCTGCCCTCAGGAACATGAGACAGCACTTCAGCACTACACTTGGGAGCCACTTTACATTGTGAAATCAGCAACAAAAATCACAAAACTATGAAAAACATGGCACATAATAGGCCACAAAAGACACTGGTTTTCAGTATGAGCTGAACCGAGAAGGCAGAGCCCCACCTTGTTCATCGTCAGCTGGGACCATCATTTTGGGCATCTCGAATTTTTCACTGTTCTACATGTGTCTGCAAATGGCCACAAAAGCCCTTAAGTATTGATTTTGGGATTACAGATAAACTTGAGTGAGGAGGTGAATTGCAAATACAGAATCCATAAATAATGAGGATTGACCATACTTCCCTATCCCTCTGGAACGGAGGGGGCAGTGGGCAGATTCTGTGGGGAAAGTTCAGGATAAGCAAGCAGCCTTTGGAAGGGCCCTGGTGGCTTCTCTAAGAGTTGCCAGAGGAAATGGGCAGCTTCCTTTCCCAGGAGACCACAGCGCCGTGTATGTATTATGCTCTAGTGTCAACACTATATCCACTCATCTGGCAGCTGCCAAAGCGATCCTGTAAAAATCTACCGTATTTGCCGGCGTATAAGACGACTGGGCGTATAAGACGACCCCCTAACATTTCCACTCAAAATACAG